TGTTTGCAATTTGTTGCGCACATTTGATCTTAATGATTGGAACACTGCAGGAGTCTTCCCATTAGCTGTATTTAATGTGTAATTAAAATATCATTTATATTCCCCCCAAAAAGGAAATGGCAAATTATATGGGGCATAGAAATTTTTGGCTAGTTTCCTTGAGAAAGTTAAGAAATCCATTTTACTATTAACTTAAGTAATTAGTGTTCAAGAACTTTAACTCTTTAAAATGGGAGTGAGTATTGTGCCACACAGTTTTGTACTGAGTGTTTTAAATGTTATGTTTAAATATGTGTGTATGTGTGTAGCTCTATGCGATATGTGCACATGAGTGCAGGTGCCCAAAGGCTCCAGCAGAGGGCATTGGATCCTCTGGACCTGGAGTAACAAGTGATTGTGAGCTGCCATCTGACATGGATGCTAGGAACTGAACTCCAGCCCTCTGCAAGAGGGAATAGGCCCTAACCTCTGAACCATCCCTCTCGCTCCAGTTTTTGTTAAAGTGTGCTCGCCTGTTTGTGTGTGTGCCTGTGTGTGTGTGTGTGTGTGTACGTGTACATGAAGGTGCCTGACAAGACCAGAAGCTTCAGTACCCACTGTAGCTGAAGATAGAGGTAGTGTAAACCACTTGATGGGGTGCTGAGAACTGAACTCTGCTCTGCAAGAGCAAGCGCTTAGCTGCTGAGCCATCTCTTCAGCTCTGTGCTGTGTGTCTTATCCTCACTTTATGTCATTTTGTTCCTCAAAGTGTTCTCGTCTAATGATTGAGTAAAAGAGAGGCTCGGTGCCTCACTTAAGGTTTCTGTTGCTATGATGAACACTGAAAACAAGCAGCACAAGGAGGAGAGGGTTTATCTCAGCTTACAGCTTGTTGTCCATCATCCAGAGAAGTCAGGGCAGGAGAGCCAGGCAGGAACCTGGAGGCCGGAGCTAAAGCAGAAACTGCAGGAGTGCCGCTTCCTCATAGTTTATGCAACCCAGAACCACCAGCCCAGGGGCAGCCCCGCCCCCGCCGAGCTGGGCCCACATCAATTATCAATAAGAAAATGCGCCACACACAGTCTTGCCCACAGACCAGTCTGGTTGGGGCATTTTCTCAGTTGAGGTTCTATCTTCCAAAATGACTGTAGCCCGTGTCAAGCTGACATAAAGGCCAGCCAGTGCAGTCCGCACCATATAAACAATGAATTAGATATAATGTATAATGTAGTTTGTGAGTCCTGCTAACTCTTAGACGCGTGTTGCTCCGGGCTTTACAAAATGTCTGGCTTTCTCCCATGCTCTCAGTTTTATGTTTTGAAGGCTGCTTCATCAACAGTCATCCATAATACCTAAAACTATATCTATCTGTATCTGTGTCTATATATGGAGAGAGAGGCATGGAGACAGAGGGGAAGAACGAGAATCAGAAGCAAATTTGGGGAGGCGTGATTTTCAACTACTTGAGGATCCAGTCTGTTGAAATGATTTCCCTCTGCCCTCAAGAATGATTTTACCCCTTTACCCAGGGCTGAGGTCAGTAGTCCAGATTTTAGTTTTCATAGTGAGTGTTTATTATAATTGTAATAAGGGAAGATATTAAAATCACTTTGAAAACAACATTTTTAAGATAAAAATGAAACTGAACCAACACAAACTCTGTTGGGCAAGTAACAACTGCAATGTCTAATGTGTGGTGTTCTAGTGGTGTTTTGTGTGAATAATTTTGCTGTGTAGACAGAAGTATGTTCCTTTTAACACTGGGTTCCAGAGTCTTTCTGCTGACACTGTCATAGACCCCTGGCATTTCTCTGCCTTGTTCTTACAGCCTGTTCCATAGACTACAGGCCCCACTGACCAATCCCTGGTTGCCAAATAATTAAGTAAATCCAATTTCTAATTATTAGGAACAGACTGTGTTTGTTTCCTTAACTGCCTCTTTTCTTAGGTAGGTTTCCTTGTATGTCCTTAACTTGTTCCTTGATAGAAATGCCAGCTGGAATACACAATTTAAAAAGAGTCTGTTTAAAAAAACTATTATCTTCTGTTTAAGGACAAGGAACATCCCAGATTCCTGATCCCAGAACTTTGCAAACAGTTTTACCATCTGGGCTGGGTCACCGGCACTGGAGGAGGAATTAGCTTGAGGCATGGGTAAGTTTCTGGTTGATTTCAGCTCTGGGGTTGTCCATTTCAGCCAGCCACAGGTGGTGTGTTCAAACCCAGCTGATGGGCAGTGTACTATGAGACTGAAGCCATTTACTTTCTACATGATCGGTGGATAACTACATAACCCAGCGGAACCAAGGAGCAGAAGCAACAGTCACAATGAACACTGAAGGCTTTTGGATCCCAGTTGCTAAGTGGATAATTTGGTTCTCTCTCTTTGGAATACTGAAGGTGGATAAGAGTCCAGCAAGTATGTTCATGTATCTAGACAGTCGAAGATTTATTTCAAAAGGTCAGACATATTTTGAAGTCACTTAAATACAAATTATTAATCATTAAAAATTCAAGAATCCACGTTTACTGAGTTCAGAAACAGGCCGTGTGCTATTCTAAGCAGAGCTATGATATTAATGGACGTAGCACCTGCTGATATTTACTCCTTTGAGGCACTGGATTTACGTCAGAAAAAAGGATGTGTTTTCTGTTGCTCATTGGATTCTGGGAATGTCTTGTCTTTGAGCAGATGAGGGGTAAGCACAGCACTGGCAATGATGCTCAAGGTGATGCCTCATTCTCCCGAGGCTTCTGAAGAAGGATTAATGTTTTCCTCCCGAAATGTATGAGTATTACTGTCTTGAGGCGGAATGTTAAACCGAGTGATGGTGCTTTATTTCTGCTTTCCAGGTCACCATTCCTCTTTAGCAAAATTAGGTAATTAAGACATTTATATGTTGAGTATATATGTACATGATATGTATGTGTATATGTATACATGTATATTGATGTGTATATGTGTATATATGTATGTGCACATACGTATGTGTAGATAGATAGATCCCAAGGAGTCTACATTTCATGATAGTAAATGGATTGAGTAAAATCAGAACATTTTAAACAAAAGGAATTGTATTACATATCCTACAAGATGATGATTTTGTAATTTCATCTGCTTCAAATTACAATGTAATTCATGAAATAATAATTCAGTAGTGGGAAGTAGCAAAGTCAGCAGCTTGTACAGCTGTGAATATAAGGATTCTCTCAGAGTACAGATCCAGTGGTCCCTGATGGGTCTGCACGTCCCTCTCTGCCCCCTCTCACCGTCAGTCACCCCAGCTACTAATGTGTCGCTTCAGCTTTGTGCAGACATTCAGATTGATTTGCCTAAATTTTCTAGTTGCATTGTTCACAATATACCCAAAACTATTAATAACTTGTTCCTGTTTTACTTTTAAAAGTTGAGTGCCTGTAATTTAATTTCCCTGGTGTATGATATATAATAAATCATGTTCTAAATGTGTTAGCTTATATGTATTTCCATGTGAAGAGAGTGATTTTTGTACATAATAGAGCTCTTACCAAACTGAGATAAAATACTCATTTCTGGATATATGTTAAAAGATCTCTGTGAGTTGGAGTCCAGGACAGACTCCAAAGCCACAGAGAAACCTTGTCTCAAAAATACAAAAACAAACTGGGGGACCTGGTGGGAAGGGATGGGGAGGAAGGGAGGGAGAGGGAGCTGGGATTGACATGTGAAACAAACTTGTTTCTAGCATAAATTTAAAAAATGAAGAGGAAAAAAAAATACAAAAACAAAAAAATACAATGAAAACTCAAAAAAGAACTTTTTTAAAGAAAGAAATTGTAAAGGACTTCTCTTTCTAGAAGAACTGTACTAGTCCACATACTGATTGTGTGTGGTCAACATAAACCATTTATTGGCACATCTCCTAATATGTAATGACTTTTATAGCACTACAATCAATTTATAGGAAAGTTGCATCATATGTAGTTTTTCCTCATTTTTAATGGGCAAGGAGCTCCCTCTAGAGGCCACAAGAGGGAAGAGGCAGAGTTTTAAGGCAGGCACTGACAGATTTCAAGGTTTAGCTAATAACACTCCAGCTTACATGACTAGTGTATGGTACCAGAATATGTACACACACACACCAGCGAGGACACAATAGATATTGAAAGTGAGGATGCACATAGAGTCATCAAAGTCATTCCCTGACACTCAGCAGCCATTGCCTTTAGGCTTGGTCTATGATGTTTAAATTTACCATTTCTTATTTTCATCTGTATGTGCCAGCCACACTCAGCTTGCTGCATGCTGTTAGAATCCTATTTGAAAAGCACATGTTGTAGATGACCTATTGAGACATATTTCAGTGATCCTTAATGACCAGAGGGTAAGTAAAAGTAGACACACCTGAACACTGATGTAGTACGAACTCTTGTTCTTGTTCTTCTGTCGTTTTATTTACCATAGAGTGAAAGAGCAGGGAGTATAGAGAAATATACTCCAGAACTCATTCTCTGGAACTTCCAAGTTCTTTTTATTTGTGGCTTATAGAACCAAGCATTTTCCTTCAGTCTTTTTGTGTGGTATCTCCTAAAACAAAAGCTGTCACTCTTGTATTTTTCCCGTATTTCTCTTTCTGGGTTGGTATTGCTATGTCAAAAACGTACTTATCTTTGAATTGCTCAAAGTAAATCAAAGTGTAAATTAACTCCCACTTACAAAAACAAAACAAATAGACTTAGCACAGCTAGAACGTCTCTGATCACAAGGCTGCCAAGTAGATCTCTGGGACTTCCTGCTCTGGAGGAAGGGCTTCCACACTGTTGCCATGCAACAGATTCTGAGCACTGTAAGTGGCTTCGGGAAACCTAATTATGCGTGAGCCCACTGCTTCCTGGATTCTGCTTACCTATCAGTGGTTTATCTGGACCTGCAGAGTTTACCGAGAAATCATCACGGACATACCTGTCAGTTCCAAGTCTGTGTATTTTGTGGTGATCACTCTGACAGCCTCATATAGGCCATCTGTGTTGTCACTTTGAAGCCTTTGATATTTGTCTGCTGTGCATTTCTGCCTCCGTGGTAAGAGCTTCAGTCCCGGGTGCTGTGTCCCTGGGTGCCGTTTTTTGTTGTAACTCATTAATGTGCTCTGGCAACTGAAACTGAAGAGTGAGAAAAATGACCATTCTGTGTGTGGAGAGAATGGGGAAGATCTGAAAATTACGTTGCAAGTCAAATTTGACAGCACCATGGATGGCCTTGTAGGAATGGTATAGGGTATAGGTCTCAGCTAACACTCATAACAAAACAACGTATCTCTGTCTGTCTGTCTGTCTCTGTGTGTGTGTGTGTGTGTGTGTGTGTGTGTGTGTGTGTGTGTGTGTGTGTGTGTGTGTGTTATTTTATTTCAGATATTTGCTCACTGCATTCTCCATGCTGGTCTTGAACTCATGATCTTCTCTGCTCAGCCTCTTAAGTGCTATGACTATAGGCATATGCAACCATGCTCATTATCCTAATTTCATTTCTTTTATGATTGCTTTATTGCCAAATAATTTCCAAGATTTGTGTGCTTGTCATAGAGGAAATTCTACAGTTACCCAGTGTTCATGCTGTAACTTAGCAAACTGCCCACCAGAGGGCTCTGTGCTTCATGACTTCATGCAATAAATTAGAACCTCATTGTTTACAATGCAAAAATGTTCTCAGTGATATATATTTTTTGCCTGATTTTATCGCTGACTGTATTTTACATAGGGTACTGCAATTCTGTTCATTCGTTCCAAAAGTGCTAAAGAATTAACATGTCCAAATTGACCTTTTCTCTAGATGGTAGTCTGGCTACCACTATTTTTTTTTAACCCCATGAAAAGAAATGTGTGTGTGTGTGTGTGTGTGTGTGTGTGTAATCAGGAAAGACAAAAGCAACTACCACGAGTTTTCTAGTGTTTCAAAGTAGCTCAGAACTCATTCTGTGCACTCTGACGCCTTCGCTCAACCAAGCAGCCGGTCGGGTTTGGTGTATAAAGGACATTAATGGTTACACTGCAAGGATACACTTATCTGTTCAAAACCAGAAATTTAGCTAAACAAAAACCAATGTCTATATTTTGTGTTACCAGCAATGAAATCTACATTGCTCCCTCAGGCGTGCAAAAGGAACGGATTCAGGTATGCTAAAGGACCCTTCATAAGCCCTCTGTCCCCTGTCCTTGACTGCCGTTCCATGAAGTGGAATGGCTTCTAAAAGGTTATGTTAGTTTTAAAGGGTGGTTCTGATGTAATAATTTAAATAACTAATCAACAAACATTTGCTAAGTAACTATTAAATATTTGTTGAGTAATTATGAAATGGTTTTTAAGGTGGCGAGTATCTTCCACGTATCCAGCATGGGTTTTAAACCCCCATGGGGCTGGAGAGAAGGCTCACTCTGAGTACTCACTGCTTTTGCAGGGGATCTGGGTTTGGTTCTCAGTTCTCACCCGCCCAGTGGCTCACAGCTGCCTATAACTCCATTTGCAGGGCATCTGAAGCCCCTCTTCTGACCTCTGAGATTATCAGGTATGCACTTGGTGTATATACATACATGCAGGCACACATAAACCTAATTTTAAAACATAAGTAATCTTCAAACTCTCATTCAGAAAACACAGCAGGCAGCAGTGAATAGCACAACCTCATCCCACCTTTATCAGACTAGCTGGCCCTACTGACAGCTTCAGGTCACACAAACCGATCCATATTCTCAATTGCAAAGCTGTTCTGATTTAAAGTGGGGGAATTTTGTTTCAAAACTTGGAGAAGTGGCATTCTATATCAATTCTAGAATGACACCTCAAATCTAAAACTTAGATTAATGGCAAGAAAAAAGAAAAGTGGCTCTCTTAATGAAAGTTTATACTGTAGTCTGTGGTAGGGCCTGGTTTTTGGAAGTTGCAAATCAGAACTATGCAGGCATCACTAAGAAAAAGCTAGCTCAACACACCTGAAAACTTGAAGAACAACATCATTACTATGTTGTAACACCCATCTGGGCATGTTGATTTCTTTATATGTTTTGCCAGAAATATAGTTTCTAAGTCCATGAACTGACAGCAATATCATTGCTTATATAATTATTTCTACATCTGATTTTATCCTTCAAATTCTAAAAGAAAGTAACCTTTTAACTCTCAAGAAGTTTTTGATAGTATAAGACTTTATTTTTAATTTTATTAGTTTGTGTGTATCAGTGTTTCTACATGTATGACTGTGTACCATGTGCATGCAGTTCCCATGGAGGCCAGAAGAGGGTGTCATGGCCCCTAGAATTAGATGGTTGAGAGCCACCATGTGGGTGCTGGGTACCAAATCCAGGTCCTTTGGAAGAACTGTCAGTCCTCTTAACCAATGAGCCATCAATGTAGTCACAGAGTAAAACTTTTAAAAAAATTTCTCAGTACTAAAATTTTGGGGACTCAAACATGAATGTTTAATTTGAATGTTAAACATGTTTGCATAAGCACATACTGTGTAAGTACACCAAGTAGAGGCATTTTAATTGTATTTTTTAAGACCTTCTTTTCTTTTTCTCTGTCTGTAAGTAGCCAGAAGATATGTTTGTTTGTGACATCAATGAACAGGACATAAGTGGGCCTCCAGCATCTAAGAAGCTCAAAAAGAGCCAGTGTACTCCTCTTTTCATGAATGCTTACACCATGAGAGGTAATTGGTCTAAAGAACACTTGCAGCCTTGGCCTCACTAAATAATAGTCATTATGACGTTACTTAACAGCGCTCGAGTATAAACGTGTACAACAATTTTGTTCCCCCTCATTCCATCCTCTCATCAGCCTCTGAAGAAGGTCTGTTGTTATGCTCTTCCCATTAGTTAGTTAGTTCCCATCAGCTGGACCTAGCTGTGTCTCCTGCAAAGAGGAACTTCAGCCGAGGAGTTGCCTCCACCAGACTGGCCTGTAGGCAGGTCTGTGGGGACATTTCCTTGATTAGTGACTGGTGTGGGAGGGTGCAGCCCACTGTGCATGGTGCCACAGTGGGGGGTCCTAGATTGTATTAGTAAGTGGACTAAGCCATCCATGAGAGACAGGCACTCAAGAGCATTCCTCCATAGCCTCTGCTTCAGTTCCAACCTCCAGGTTCCTGCCTTGAGTTCCTGCCCTGACTTCCCTCAGTGGTAGACTGTGATCCAGGATATGTAAGCCACATAAACCCTTTCCTTTCCCAGGTTGCCTGTGGTCATCATTTTTATCACAGCCACAAAAACCAACTAGGACACCATCTTACCCACCACCAGTTTTTCCTATGGCAGTAAAGTTACATCCATAATGAAACATATACATACATAAAGTACATAAGCATGGGTGTTGATTTTCTCTTAAAGTCTTAAGTTCTCTTCACTGAGCAGCTGACTCTTCATCCTACAGGAGCAGGCGCTGTGATTCATACCCACTCTAAGGCTGCTGTCATGGCCACCCTTCTGTTCCCAGGACAGGAGTTTAAAATTACACATCAAGAGATGATCAAAGGAATAAAGAAATGTACCTCAGGAGGGTATTACAGGTATAATTTTATTATTAAATTATTTGGCATGCATTCTTGCTTCTCTTTGGTAAGTTGGGCCATGATCTTTTTATACATAAAATGAGATGCAGTGGGATCTGTATTCAGTAATAACCCTCTTAACAATATGCTTTGAGATGCGTTCTCAGCTACACAGACTCCTCCTCTGTTCCCCTGCCATGGTGAATTATTAGTGACATGAATAATGGAATGTTTGCTCCATTAACATGAACAGAAGCCTTGACTGGAATTTCTATCAAGATGAGTGAGGGCAGCCCTTTTCAGCACTGAAAAAAAAAGATTTCCTCACCTCCACTTTGTTTTGAGGAGGCTTGAACTGGGACGACTACCAATGGAGTTTGTTGATTTAATGTGTTTCTAGAATATGCTGATTATAAAAACTTCCTATTCATTTTATTAGATAAATGACTATATTTCAGAATTTGTGATGTGGGTGACTTAAAAGTATAAAACAATGACCTAACTAAATCTAGCCAGTCTGCAAAACATGTAGCCTTTATTCACAAATGTATACTCGAATAGCTGAAGAAACAGGTTCCCAGTGTCCAGGTATAAGCTGAGCCTTGCATTTAGTTGGTAGCATTCTTCTGAACCTTCACCTTTCCTAATTTCTGGGGCCTGGTTTTCCATCCCCTTTAGAGGGAAGTGCTCCCTGTTACTAAAGACACCAGAGTAGTGTCTCACTGACTGCAGGGAACAGTCTGGACGTGTTTCAACCAGGGTGCTGAAAATTCATCACATTTGATTTCCTTGTCTATTTATTGTGTGCCTAAAGCCATCCTCAGTGCTATGAAAATTATGTAGAAAAGATGAAAGTTAAAGCAGTATGTGCTAAGCACTCGAAAGGCCCTGGGTTCAGTCCTCAGCAGCAGAGCTAAGCAAAATAAAGCCAGTGTTAAGTGCCCCTCATTTCCAGGTGAGGTGAGCATGTATTACTGTAGCTGCTGTGCATTCTGGAAGCCACATACCTCTGCTAGAGTTCATAGTATACTGACAGTCAATCAGAGGATGCTAGAGTCCAAAGGATACTGGCAGTCAGTCAGAGGATGCTAGAGTCCAAAGGATACTGGCAGTCAGTCAGAGGATGCTAGTGTGCAAAGGACTTCCATGGCTCTGTTTCAGGTTTTGTTTAACTTGTGAGAATCAGTATCCTGTGTGGGAAATGAGGGATTTGTTTGGATTTGTTTTCTGGTCTCACTGTACTTTGAAATTATTTTGCTCCTGCAAATATTTCTGACTGTGTGGTGAATGTTATAGGAAAATATGTCTGTCATTCTTCTGGCTAGTTTCAGGAAAGATGTGAGAACAGTAATTCACTCCTTTTCACTATGGTATTATATAATTACTTCTGTCTCAAGTACAGTGGAGTCATGGGCAAGTCTATACTACTACAATAATGGTTGCCCAAACTATTAGGCACATGACAGATGCTTAGTCTGTGCCTGCCTGAAAGGTTATTTTTGATAACACTGAGCATTTTTGTTGCTAAGTTTATTCACTGCTTTGGTGAAGAGCAGTGTGAGAGGAAACCATGTATAATGGAACACTTGTCTGAGTTGTCATTGGCTACAAGTGACATCA